CACAAAGTCAAGATCAGCTACTTCACATCTGCAACACGCACCAGCCACATACATGCACGCCTCATCTCAACGCCAACGGTCGTTGCTTCTCAACTCAAATGCTGGCCATACAAGCATACACTGATACAGCAAGGTGTAGGACATGTATGTCCCAGGGCCATAGTGCCATACATAGGCCATAGCAGCATGCATTGACCGTATACGCGTAGTAGACCTCTACTCCGTAGTGAATAAAAAAGAAGGGACACAGTCGATCTGTGCTAGACTACTGCCTGGCTGCCAAGTGCCAGTACAAGTACTGAGTCAAGGACACACGGACTTGAGTGCATGGTAGGTCACTAGCAGTAGCACTGGTAATCATGGTAATATTATTATTACAATATTATTACTAGTGGTCGACTTATCATCATGATCATAGTCCTAGGCTACAGATCTTGACTAGACTAGAGTCTACAGACCAGTACAGCACAGTCTACAGACTACAGCCACAGTACAGCCTACAGCCTACAGGTACTACGTACGTAGACCTACCTACGTAGGGTTTTTTTCGAATTTTTGGTACTCCCTGGTTACTGGTTACGTGACTTGTCACTTGAGACGTAACGTTGAGTGTAGTACAGACTACAGTACACGGTACATATGGTACATGGCACACTGCACTGCTCCAGTGCTAGCTGTACATGACTGTCTTGTGCTACACTGACTGAGTACACTAGTCACTACAGTACAGTCAGAAGCATGCTAGTACTGTCCTGATAGCACTTCCTGTAGTGTAGTGTATTGCTAGTGAGTAGTGGCAGTACTGCCAGTACTCACTAGTGCTCACCGCTTTTACCGCCACCCCCGTATCCGTAGCTCTCACATGCACACGCGCTCTCACTGTCTCAGCTCAGGCGATACGCTAGTCTAGTATTATCGCTACATATGTACGAGTAAAGTCAGTCTTTTTTTTCGTGTTTCCTTCAAAATAATGACTCGGTACCGATACGAGTGGCAACTCTAGCTCTCTCATGAAATGGCTGAAAGACGAAGTGGTACTATTCTACTGAGTGTAGCGTTTGATCTGCGGCTGCCAAATGTCGCATAGGCCCTAGCGCTGTTCTTTGCGGACCAGGTGCGAAAAGTAGTAGCATCAGCAATTCTCGCCGCTGTTTGTTTGTTTTGTACAAACGCCGGGCAAACCGGTATACTCCCACCAAATGGATAGGGAAAAGGTCACCGCCGATAGTCCTGAAAATGGCGAGGGAGAAGCAAGCGGAAGCGAAATGGATCCTGATGCACCTCGTATGCGTGTCGGTGATGAATACCAAGCCGAAATCCCAGATATGCTCACACTGGAACAACGAGTCGCTGAAAGTAGTACAAACAACGTAGAGAAAAACGAGCCGCACGTTCAACATTGGGATCCTGCGGCCAACCTCACTGAACAGCAGCTAACAGACTACATAGATTTAGCCAAAAACAAGTACTCGTACAACGTGGAGCAAGCAATGGGAATGCTGTACTATCATGGCCACAGTATCGACGCAGCCCTGCAGGATCTGCAAAACTTCACTCCGTTCCCGTCCGAATGGACGGCGGAGGAGGAGGTGATATTCCAGCAGGCGTTCAAGAGCCACGGGAAGAGTTTCCGTCGAATTCGCTCCATGCTCACACAGAAGAGCATTCCAGAGCTGGTTCATTACTATTACAGATGGAAACAAGCACGCGCTCAGCGAAGCTTGATTGACAGAAAACTTAATCACGAGGAAGATTCTGAAGGTGAAGAGGAGGAAGGGGAGGGTGCTGCTTCGGACTCCGGCGACAGCGAATTTGAACCGAGCAAGGAAACTAACAGGCGGATCGGTAAGGCCAAGCAAACCAACTTGCCGCCCTACGAGGCTCCTTCGAAGAAGAGAATGCGACTTCCGAAAGGCATGTATTTAGACGCGAACAAGCTCACTCAGATTGGACTTGCCGACATGAAAGCTGGAGGCCACGATCCTGATGCTGATATCATCGCACTGCAAAAGCTTTCTGCCGAGATAGTACGGCAGCGTGAGAAAATCCAGCAGAGCAAGCAAAGCCTAAGAGAACTAGAAGGTCACCAGCAGAGTGTGGAACACTTGCGCGTGGAAATGCCTGCCAATCGTCCCAGCGCGCGGTGGACTTCAACAGACATGGAAATGGCTGTGCAGAGTGTCCGCCACTACGGAAAAGACTTCGAGGCAATGGCTGCCATTATTGGAACGAAAAATCCCACCCAGTGCCGCAATTACTTCCTAAACCATCACAACCGGCTCAATTTTGACCGGGCTTACGAAGAGTACAAGAACGAACAAAACATTTCGGAAAGACAAGAAAACGGGGGAGAGCCTATGGATGAGCAAGTTGCTGTGGCCCTTGAAGCAAATGAGGAAGTACCTGATGACACCAGCAGCAGCAGCGCAAGACAAGATAAGGTTGGTGAGCATGGTGAGGAAGTGGCAGCCGTAATGCTAGAGAGATAGATGGGCGACGCTCTCCTGCTAGATGACTTGATATGAACTTACTGCCTTCCTTGTGGGTTCTTCAATATAAGTTCGCATGTGGCTATTTATATCTCCGGCTCACTGCTGGAGTGCTGACCATGACATGTGTGGGAAGCCCAAACAGCATGCCACCATCTTATGTATCTTGTCCATGGCTGTTGTGTCCATGCAACGGTGTGCGTGGGATAATGCGCTGTAATGTACTGTGGAGTATCCCGTCGCACGACAATGCTACTCTGGCAAGTTGTTGTTTTCTTTGCATAGCTAGTCAGAGCAAGGACAAGGACTCTTGATGTGTAGTCGCTGGTGTAAATCGTCCTCGTGTAGATGCCTTGTCCACTGTATTACTGAACGTGTGCTGCTGTTTGGATACCTAGTCTCGTTCATCACCTTGCAGAGCTTTAGAAAAGATTTCCGTATGATAGACATAAGTTCACAGCAGCCCTATATATATATTTTGTACAGCAAAACACGTATCTTTGTGTGAACATCTGGTATATTCAGTATTAGGCACTTAGCTGCGCCGTTCAATATTCTCATCCAGTTGCCTTGCTTTTAAAGACTGCTTCAATGATTGCCTGCTCTTCTGTTTGGATGCATATCACCTGTACATGTATTTGATTTTTCACTTCAAAGTACATATGCAGCAGTACGCAACCTTTGGGCACTATGATCTCAAAATAAGCTGCATGTACTAACTACTAAGCGTGTATGTATTGTATCATGGGTGACTGGGTGAGGGCTGAGGGAGTCTTTTCTCTGCGTTTTTTGCAAGTAACAATTATAGGGCACTGGCGCAGCAACAGTTTTCTCTTCACTTGAATTTCCTGCAGGATGGAGGCAAGTGCCGCACGGCCCGGGTGCAGTTTGAAAAATCGTGACCGGATTGTTGATCTGACACCCTGGTCGGTGAACGTGCTGACGGTACGAGAGCTCCCATGAACAAAGCAGCAGTGCTCTCCAGTTTATAGCCCATTTGTTGTAACGTTAGTGGAGCAAGAGCTTTGCCGTCACGGTATATTGCTAGTATATGATTATGAGGGAAGCCGTCACTGCCAAAGTGAAACCTTGCCTCATGCTTTGGCGTGGCAGTACCTAGTCCATAGCCCCCTAGCCTAGGGCAGGGGATTATCATGGTTATGAACTCTTCTGGGTGCCCTGATGTGTATACCCCTACTGGGCTAGGGCAGGGGATTATCAGTGGTTATGATCTCTGGGTGCCCTGATGACGTATGCTACATTGAAGCTAGGCATCTCTAACTTCTAAGTAAAGTAACTACCGTACTGGCAATATATGTTGCCGCGTAACGCGTAACGCAGGGGGGTGCGGTGTAACGCGCGACCAGGCTAGTGCGACAAATTTTCGTTGAGTTCGTAACGCGCGTCCGGCGGGGTGCGGCGATCTTTTCATTGCAGTTTGCACTGCATGCATGCACAAGAAAAAATGATGCGGCAAAAGCAAAAAAATGATGCGGCAATAGCAAAAAAGTGATGCGGCAATAGCAAAAAAAAGGACTGCGGCAATATAGAAACCTGTGTAACGGCTCCTGTGCGACTTTGCATGTAACGCCCTGCGTGCGGCAAACATGTGCCAATGTAACGCTTCATGGCCTCACTGCGGCAACATAATTATATTGCCAGTACGGTAGTTACAAAACTCACTCGACACTGTCGTGTTCGGTTGAGGCCTGGCTGCATGAGCATGAGGGATAAAAAACGAATACAGTAATACTAGTAATAGTAGTAGTAATCATCATGACTTTCATTGAAGCAGATCATGTTGTTGAATGCTCGCACTGCGGCAGGCAGATACTTTACGACTGGGACCGGCCAGGGAGCCCTACATATACCGGTATGTGTACATGGTGTAGGGCTGACGCTCCCTAGCCGAGTAGCCCTGGTGAAATAGTTTCATTAGTTATCATGGTTATGATTGTGTGTACTACCTGGTCATTGTAGTAACACGTGCATGCATTTAATTCTTGGCTTGCCATATCCCGGATCACGTCGTATGTAGCTATCATGACACGGTTCTATCACAGTCGTAGACTAGTCGTAAATCGACAAACCACACAACAGCACATCGCTGTTTCGGCAACACTGCATCCGGCCCATGCCATGGCAGAAGGCTGGTTTGAAATAATGGAGCCACCATAGCGGTTTTTATTATTTTCTGAAAGTCTAGCGCCTCGAGTCGAGTCGTGGCAGTGACTGGAGAATCTCCCAGCCGAATGGTCCTCATCCGTGGACTCGGACTTTTGCCACTATAACTAACAGGTTACTTCATAAGTTATCTCTACCACGATCAATCAACTCTTGTTTGTCTGCAATCCCACCTTCTTTTCGAGCTGATCTTACCAGTCAGGCAGTGCATGATCATCACCGCGGCCATGGATGTTGCTGGCAATGAGCCCTGGTCACTATGTCGTAGATCTACGCTGATGCTTGCTCTGGCGGTGATGGTGGTGTTGCACAACGAAGTCTTAGTGTCAGGACTGGAGCCAGTGGCCGGAGTCAAGCCGCACATTGTTGTTGTACTGGTGGATGACTGGGGATGGGCCAATGTGGGCTATCACCGGGAGAACGCCACGAAAGAAGTTCAGACTCCTAACTTCGATTCGCTGTGCAAAAGGGGAATCGAGCTTGACCAGCACTATGCATACAAGTTCTGCTCGCCGTCAAGGTCGTCGTTCCTGAGTGGCCGACTTCCGATACACGTGAACATAGAGAACGACTATCCGGATTACTACAACCCGAACGACACCGTATCAGGCTATGCGGGAATTCCACGCAACATGACGGGTATAGCAGCCAAGCTCAAATCAGCCGGCTACTCAACACACCACATCGGCAAGTGGGATGCGGGGATGGCCACGCCGGAGCACACGCCGATCGGAAGGGGATTCGATAGTACGTTTGGCTACTTTCATCACGAGAATGACTTCTTCACTGAACGCGCCGGTTCTTGCTCGTATAACGGGAAGAAGTATCGCAACATTACAGACCTCTGGTTAAACGAAGGCCCTGCTCTGGGACGTAATGGTACTGGCTATGAGGAGGGGATGTTCAAGAGACACGTTTTAGAGGTAATTTAAACACAAGGCACTATTGTGTGATACCAGCACACTGCTATTGTTCTGCATGTATGCTTGTGCGGCAGTGTTGGTACTCAATACACTCTGCGACGTAGTGCTGGCCAGTATATGATCATGTTTGACTAAAGCAGTATTGTGATTGAGTGCATGAGCTCAGCACTAGCTGCTACCAAGGAGGCAGAGCCTGGCACAACCATGCCCTGTTGGTATATTGATATGGCAAATTTCACTGCATTGTTTATGCTATATCTCTGATGGCTCAAGGGTACATGTACATGTATAACCGATGATTAATATTTGATCGCAATGTATATTACCCATGATGCATCATGCACTTTTTGTGGTTGCGTGCACACACTTCAGTGGTGGATCCAGGGTCACCTGAAGAGGAGACCCGTCATACTAGTACTGCCAAAAGGCTATGACAAAGCACAAATATGCACATCAAGCGTCTAGAGCACACGCAGGCAATGGCCCTGTGCCACTGCTACTAACGAGAGAAATCAAAGTCTAAGTTTCGAAGGAGGGGTGATTGTATCTCAAACGTTCCCTTTCTCGCATGAACACATAGACTGGATTGTGGCATTTAAAACCTCCAACTGGAGGCCGTGGGGGGGGGGCTTACCGGTATATCCCAATGCAGCGCTGACCCCGGAGAAATACGGCATTGTTCTGCAGGTGACGAGGTGTTCCCCTTTCTTTTGGCCACACTTTCCTCTGCAGGTTATTCGCAACCATTCCATTGACAGCCCTTTGTTCATCTACTACGCAGCCCATATTGCTCACACGCCGCTAGAGGTAACCCAGAAATACCTCGACGAGTACAGTTTCATTGATAATGAAGTGCGTCGATCGTACCATGCGATGATAGCGTACCTGGATGATGTCATGGGTAATATCACCGAAGCCCTGGTTGAGCGTGGCTTGTGGAACAACACGCTCCTGCTGGTGAGCAGTGATAATGGCGGCCCGGAGTATCCGGGCGGCGGTGCAAACAATTACCCGCTGAGGGGCGGTAAGCTGACAAGCTGGCAGGGCGGGGTCAGGGTGAACGCATTTGTCTCCGGTGGCTTCATACCCAGCGCAATGCGTGGCAAAAAGCTGGAGGAGTACATTGCCCTTGCCGACTGGTATGCGACATTCTGTTCCCTTGCGGGGGTCGACCCGGCTGATGAACGTGCCAAACTTGCTGGTTTGCCTCCAGTTGACGGGCTGGACATGTGGCCGATGCTCTCAGGAGCTAATCTTACTTCACCGAGAACAGAAATTCCACTGAGTCCAGGATTGATCAGTGGTGATTACAAAATTCTGGTGGGGAACAATGGTCAAGCAGGATGGACTGGCCCACAATATCCAAATAGTACTAATCCCCGTGGCGGTATCGATGCCAAGGTGGCCTGCGGAGATGATGGATGCCTGTTCAACATCAGAACCGATCCCGAGGAGCGTACCAATGTGGCAGCGTTGCAACCTGCCATTCTCAAGCAGCTGCAAGAGCGCCTGCAAGCATGGGACGCAACTGCTTTCAATCCGGACAGGGGACAGCAATGGCCCGAGGCGTGTCAAACAGCTATTGAAAAGTATGGTGGCTACTGGGGTCCATTCTTGCCCTAGTCAGAGATGCCATCAGTTAGCCACGTTTCGGGCCTTTTTACGCCGGTGACACTACGCAGTTATCACTGCATGCCAGAATGATTACTGGACAATATAATTTATCTGCAACCTACATTGCACAACATAAGGGCAACGGCGTCAGGGTGTACTGAGAGTGAGAGCCATACGTGTACAAGTACATGTACACATTTGTTTGAGGTTCAGTAACATCCAGTCTTCTTTTGAGCAGTACCTGTTCCTGCTCGCCGCGCATCATCCTGGTTTCTGATATCTCGGACATGTATTTAACTATCTCGATCGCCCCTGCTATTGGCCCCGCTTGTTTTTCATGATCCATTGTTTATTGCCTCCCTGGGTTAATTTCCATCTAGCTGTTTCTGGCTAGTATCAGTTCTATCGCACTTATCAATCTTCCCGCTTATTGCCATCAGTCGTGGAATAAAAGAATAATAATTTTGCTATACAAATCCGATCTTAGAGCATGCTTTGCTTCTGGAGTGATTGCATCATACACTACACAAGCTTTGATAGTGAATGACCGCTTTGAGCAAAATGTTGGAACTGCGGTACCCCCCCCCCCCCCCCCCCCCCCGACAAGTCATTGTACAATGTACACATGTACACCGTATTGCCTTCAGGAATATTAATTTTTTTTAAACACTACAAGTCCCTATAGTTATGCAGTGTGTGAGAGGAATGCATTGAATTGTGTGAAATGGAGTTCTAGCAGTAGCATGCCTTGATCGCCTCGTCTAGGCCCTGCTAGGTGTAAACTGTAATGCGATTGGTCATCTCCGTGCCTACGGTCTTGTGACATGTCAGAAGACCACTTGAAAATTATGGCAGGGCTGTAATAATTATAATTGTTTATTTATTATGAATGACAGATGAAGGGGGCGAAACCCACATGTTCTACCACGTGCACAGACGTACATGTATTGCTACGTCCATGTCATTGTACGTAGGCTCGAACGATCAATGCATGATCATCTGGACACTGTACTTGTCTTCACTCTACACTACAATGACTGTAGTGTCATGACTGTACTGTGTACAGTCAGAAGTCAGCAGTCAGTACAGACCCTGACTCAGTGACTGTCTACTACTAGCAGGGAGTAGTAAAATATTTTACTACTCCCTGCTACTAGTACAGTCAACTTCGCTAATAACGACTGCGGATATAACGACAATTCGCGAATAACGACGGAATTTCCATGCCCAGAGCAAAGTCCCATCCAACTGTAATACATATAATGAGACTTCGGGTATAACGACACTTTGTGAATAACGACACTTTTCTGATGCCCCGCCGAGTGTCGTTATAAGCGAAGTTGACTGTAGTAGTAAGTAAAATGCAGACGATCAAAAAAAGTACGACGACACCGAGAATGTGTATCTATCACGGCTATCCCGCGCTGAGCTGAGGCAGTTTCCCAGGTTTCAACTGTGATTTGTAAAACTGTTGCAGCCGAGTTCCACCACAATCATAGTCCTTGGACAAACTGTAGTCTACACTACGTTGTCGTGGGCGGTGATCTACTTGGAAGCGAAGAGAAGTCCATGCAGTAGTTAGTTAGTAGCTTGCCAGTGACACGAAAGGTTCTTCTCCACGAACTCTGAAGTTGAACTGCTTCGCACTGTTTTTATGAGTTTCGCGTAGCGGTACTGAACATCGAGCAGCCAGTTCGTTGTTGACTGTCTTCAAAGTGGTGGCGACATGGCCCTTCTTGCTGATGATTCCCGGTCTGTGGAGGCACGCCAGTACTTCGCTTCGTTCGGTGAGCTGGCCTCAAAGATCGTGCAAGAATCGGAGAACGTTCGTAGTAATAACGATTGGAAATCCATGACTTACAAACAGAAGGAGAGTTTGATCGATAGGCATTTCATTGACGATAGCGTCAGGAGTTACTACTCGGGAGGGAACCAGAGCACGACAAGTCTCGGAGCGTCCAGTGCTAGTTTTGGTGGTGCTGGTGCTGATAGTGTGGGTACTGGTGATGTTCCACTTCCAGCTTGGGAGATGCTCTTTCCCAGACCCATTCCGCTGGGCGGACAGAAATTTGTACATGTCGGCAGCGGCGAGGATGGTGAAACGTCGGCAGTAAGTCCAGGTTGCATGCGCCTTGTGCCGCGTCTGCACAGCCGCGCGCTAGGGAGTCAGTTGGCTCAGTGCTACTAGTATTGATCGTACATGTGTGCCTGTGTCTTGGATCGTTCTCCATTGTCACTTTGATTATGGCTGACCTTGTTTGCCAACGTAGTTTGAGCTGAGCAGGACGGCAGAAATCGGGGTGGATACATTTATGTCCCCAAGTAATCATTTTACATGATGTGTGCGAGTCGTGCTGTCGTTGCTTATTCATTGTTTGATTGGATTGTGAAAAGGACTAGAACTAAACATCAAAATCAGTCAAGGCTTGATAGGCGTGAAGTGCCCTAGAATGTCAGAGTGTAGGTCTGATTCTGGTGGTGCTCCAGCTCTAGATCTAGCTCTGTTCCCCCATGGGATGTTTGCCAAGGCAAGGGTTTCTGAACCAGATGTACAAATAGTCGCCGGAACCACTGCACGCATGTGGGCCACCTGGCCAGGTCCGGTGATGCTTTTGTCATCTGTTACGATGTTGACATGCGCACACAGTGCACACTGCTACAAACGTTTATGTAACTTTTATGTGAAGTATGGAAGGACACCCTGAGGTGGATACAAATTGTTCCCTGTGAGGAAACACGCATGCTGGGCTAGTGATATTGCCGCCAGAATGGATAAACCTGCACGGGGAATGTAGTGTTGTAGCTTCAACCACACCTAAGTCATCACCTTACCGTAGCCTTGATAAGCACCGCGTGTACGCGTCCCTTATTGGCGAACAAAAGTGTGGAGGTGAATGCATAACAGCAAGCTATCTCACTGCAGCAACGGTATGCGCCTATGGGAGTGTGTGTATAGCTGTCGTGCATGTCTATGTGCTCAGTATCCTAATGCATGTCTTCGCAAGGCCTCAAGAAGGTGGTCAGCACCAGTCCATGCAATGTACTGTGGGCGGCATGAGCTACCATTAATTGGTTGACTTCTGGAACCTAAGCATGGAGCTCAAAGTCACTCCTATGCCTTGGTAGATCGCTGTGTGCATTTCGCATCTCATTCTTGATGATTGCCCGGCTAGCTTGGTTTGGCTGGTTACTTCCCTGAAAGGGTATGGGCCGTGACTTTGCTTTGCTCACATTTAGCTCATAGAGAGGCTAGGCACCATGAGTGTACGAGCCTAGCTTCACACCTGACCTGCCTGCTGTTTGATTTCCCTTCTGGCAGGCATCGTATGTGGATGAATTTGCTGGCAATTTCCAGTGGGAAACCAAGGTAAGTGCAGGATACGAAGTGCTGCCGTCGTCCGATTTTTTCGGACATTGTCCGAAATTCATCCTCCGTCCGAAAACCGATCTGAAAATATACGTTTTAAAGAACCTTTCTGATTTCTGGATTGCTGACAGCCAGTGCATATGACAGAATAACTGAAGGCGCATCATTGTAAAGATATTATAATTATATGCCTGTCCTGTCTGCCCATGAACATATTTCTATTCCAATAGACTGTACACGTATATCCACTGACTGATTCCTGCTACAGCAGGCAATGTGAAACTTGAGAGGCAATGCAACAGCACGACCCATTCCACTTGTGTATCTCTTTGTTATTGACTTGCTGTTGTTGTTGTTGTTGTTGTTGTTGTTGTTGTTGTTGTTGTTGTTGTTGTTGTTCTTGTTGTTCTTGTTCTTGTTTGAATTCTTTATTCTCACGATGGCACCATCGCCAATAAGAGATGTTGTTGCTGCTGCTGCTGCTGTTGCTGCTGCTGCTGCTGCTGCTGCTGCTGTTCTTGTTCTTGTCGTCGTTGTCGTTGTAAATCTTTCTTTTCACGTTCGACATTTGTTGTTCTTGTTGTTGTTGTTGCTGCTGATCTTTGCCATTGTGCCATGCAGAGTCAGCTTGAGCTCTGGCTGCCTGAAGGCAAAAGCTTGCCGTCGCCCAGATCAGTTCGCAGATCAATGTACAAGGATGATCATCGTACGAATGTTGACGTCAAGCGCTATAGCAAAGCATCAGATGGATCTGATACGGCCGATGGCGATGGCGCCTCTGGAGCCACATCTGTCAAGGCTATGGCGAAAGCGCTACAGAGGACCTCAGGCGGTGCCTACCCGCCTCCCAGCGGCAGCCGCATCAGTGGCACGGGCCTGGCACCGATCCCTTCAAACACTCCTACGCCGTCTCCCGCACCAGCTCCTAAGGCATCGCCGTCACTCGCAAGAACACAGTCGCACGTTCAAACCAAGTCCAGTCCTGATGTTGCTCCAAGACCACCCAAACGCTCTAGCTCCATAGTCGGGGACACGCCTTCGCCTCAGGTCAAAGTAAAGAGTACAGGTGCTTTGGCTGTCCCACCACCATCCAAATCTGCTAGTTACTCATCTGAACTAGGAGCTGTCACTGTTGACACTGGTGATGCCGATGCCGATGCCGCTGCAGCTGGCGCTCAAACTGGCGGTAAGCCCAGACCATCGCCACCAGTACGCAGGGATTCATTATCTAAGAAAACTGGTTCGCCGTATGCTGCAGAAGCCGCAAAGGAAGAGAGGGACTCCAGCACCTATAAGCCAGGTGCAGTGCAGTCGAATAAAGCACCATCATCAGCAGCAGTGCCAGGAGCAGCAACAACAACAGCAGCAGCAGCAGCTGCAGCCGTGCAGCCAGCGGGCAAGGCTGCCGCTTCGCGTACTCCACCAAGGGTTGAAAAGCCTAGTCGAGCACCTCCTGCGGCACCCCCTGCAGCAGCCACTCAGCCGCCTGCAGCTGCTGGTACTACTAACACCACGGCAACAACGCCGGCCGCTGCTAAAGCAAAAAAGCCTGAAACACCCGAGCCAATTAGCGTGTCATCACCAGCAACGGGTGGCGGCCAAGCCTCATCATCGGCGATAGAAACAACGTTTCCTGCCACTCCAGGGCCATTAGAAGGAAAACTGGTAAGTCATGCCTCGGTGCATCGCTATTATAGTGATGTAACGAACCATGAATTTTACGAACGAATAATCTAGCGAATACCATTCAAGCGAACGGACGATTATTCTACTATTCCACAAGAAAATTCATTATTGACAATTATGAAGAACTATTGCGAATGCGAAGTGTAACATGTAGCAAACACACAACACAAGCGCTCAGACTCGAGTCAGAGTGGAGTCTACCATGGTCTACCGTGCATAATCTAGTCGTTGTCTGCAACACAGTACAAAGTATATATGCATTCAAGTCGAGAGATCTAGAGTCATGCGCACGGTATGTAGCGCACGGACTTCGCCTGCCCGCGAATTTTCGAACCTTCGACCTAGATTTTATCCGATTGATTATTCGTTGAAGTCCAAGAGATCGAGGAAATTCGAATACCGGTAATCGATTATTCGTTACATCACTGCTATAGGACATCTTCACACGTAAGAAGGAAAGTTTCCTTTGAACTCCCTGGTTCAAACTCTGTGGTTACAGTCAAAACAGTTCCTATCCTATCTCATACTTGTGAAAAGACATTTCACGCATTCGTGAACTGAGTTCAAATCCTGGAAGAATCAACTGAGTCGATGCCTTCAAAGGCGTGTCTTAACTTTCTGTGAGCTTCATCCCCCCCCCCCCCCCCCCCCCCCCCCCGGTCGGTTTGTGCTGATCCTGTCGCTCAATTCACTAAGCTACTTCGAAGTAGCTAACTAACTTAACCGGTAGTTTGATTTCTACCTATGCTAGCAGTGCATTCTAGAATCGATCACAAAGTGGGTTTCGTACATCTCAGATCCCTGATTTTGTTTAGAGACCCCTTACTTACGGCCTTAGTGGCTGGTCTATCAATAGCTATAGAGAAGGGATTGCCTTTGAAAACTCAAGTTTGGATCGATTCGATTGTGGACATGGCGCAGCGCATGCTCAGTCAGGCACCAAATGGTTAACTGTTTACTCGTGGTGCATGTCGAAGGGCTTCATAGAATGATATGTTGTCTCACTTCCCATGGAATACTATACAAGGACATGTACAATGCCACTTGCTAGTTTGTATGAAGTCCCACCTCAGTATTTTCGTGTGCTGTGTTTCTGATCCTGTGTTTCTGGTCCTTGTAGCTCGGATCTGCTAATAGTGGAGAGACGGCAGGCGGCACGAGCTTTGATTTCCTTAGCAATTGGTAACAGTGAATACAAAAGGCTGCGAATACACCGTGAGCCAGTCTTGGCAATATGGAGGTGACTTAAACCAACAGAAATACCACTAGAGAGAGAGAGAGAGAGAATCTGAAACATAGCTTGACTGCACAGTTTCCATCTTTGCATCCAACGAAAGCTTCACACAGTTGAGTGTTGATCCAAGGTGATTATCAGGTCTAACGTTATACTTATAGGAAGAGCAGCATGTTGTGTGCTGGCATTACAAGGACCATTTTGATAGACATTTTTTTCATTTTTTGCTTTCCTACTTTTGTTTACTTTTTACACTTACAGTCCTGTTTCTGATCCGGCCCTTCACACAATGATACGAATCTGCATTCCGGCCCTTCACACAAATACGAATCTGCATTGAACTATCACTACTGTTGCAACTTGTCGGAGTGCTATAAGCTTGGAAAAGTGCTTTAATGTGGGCCCTGGTGCATGTGCACACACGCACACACACACACGCACACACACCACATACACACAAGTGCGCACGGTCACGCATTTATCTAGATGCCATGGCCCTTGGGTTCAAGCGGCGTGCAGCCCGGGCCAGGATCGAAGCAGTACAATGCCACTGGCTCCGTGCCCAACTCAAGCCGGGGTGTTCTGAATTATAGTGTTGTGCAGTCAGTGCCAGGCAGTGGTAGTAATGGTGCGTCGTGGCTCCTGTAGTCTGCTTTGATCAGATATGCATACTAGACTATGACGAAAATGGGCACACGATCCGTGTATAACTGTGACCCTGAGTGAATATGCAATGTATATGACATATAGTACTTTGAAGTAGGCTGAGTGCCGAAACATTGCCGGAAGGATCATCATTGCGGCACCTGCACCCCCCCCCCCCCCCCTCTCTCTCTCTCTCTCTCTTGCATGTTCCTCATGAGTCATGGGTTTACAGCAAAATGAATCATGAAACTGTCAGCAGTGTCAGCCGAATAAATGGTAACAATTAAAAAATGGATTATCCACGCCGGCCATTCAACAACAAGAGCCGGCTCTGATCTTGTTGTTGAAAAGTCGACGTGACTTGGAAATTGTATAGTAGAAGTCTTGGTTTGTGTAGCCTTGCTACTAGTAGTACATGTACATGATTGTACTACGTGACTTATGGGTGCCAGTGAAGCCAAAGTAAGTTGAAGCGAGGACTGGAGATACGTACAGTGAGGATAGCCAATAACACCCACTTTGTTTCCTACGATCCGATGATTGAGATGTTGCAATAGAAAAAAAAGAAATTATTGAACGGCCTACTGCATGCGGACATGCAAATTGCAATGCAGCCACACCCTGTGCAGTGTATTATCTTGGCTTAGCCTGTTACAGTGCGTTTTTTTAAAACAGACATTTGTCGATTTTGATTTTTTAGTTTGTTCTCATTCCAAATTTGAAATTTTTTCTTCACAGCTGCGTTTGTGTGGGTCTTGGATCGAAGAAAATTAAGTTTGGGAATCAGAATAATAATAATTGTCAAAGTTAGATATTCGGACGGGTTTGGGCTGAAAATCCGGTTTTAAATGATTTTCAGTGGATTTTGATTTTAAAACGAAAGTTTTAGCCAGGAAAGCTCATCACGTGCATGGTGTCCGCCAGAGTTCGAATCCAGTACAGTTCATCCTGATTCTTTTTTTCCCTTCTTTTTTGGTACAGCACATGCATGTACACGTACATGACTGTGCAGTTGTGCACTGCTGTCTGCAGTTGTCCTAACCTTTGTAGGAAACCAGTGAGTCGTGGTTTTTCACGACTTACTGTGGCAAACTGTACTGAATAATTCAAATGCTGTATTGCAATTAGCTCAATAAATCAAAACATTCCAGCATGCATGTAGGAAACTTCCCTCGATCACTGAAAGAATGCAGTGAAAATTCAAACGACACAACAAATCACAAGGGCAATTCACACAGCACCCATAAAGAGACTAAAAGGAAGCAATACATGAGCGGTTTTACAAACACACACACAAACACACACAATGCAAATAGGTCACAGTTGTGTCTGGTTCAACATCTGCGAATAGTAGAAGACCAGCGAGCGTCGAAACGGCCCCAATGCAATAATTCCGTGTTTTGTGTTGCACTTGTGACGGCAGTATTACACAGTGAACAGATGTGCTAGGACAGCCGACGACGTATATCATCGTTGGCGTCGGCCTTGTCGGTCTCCAGTCACGAACACATCGGCGCAGTTTTTCACGAATCGTCCCGTCCACCAGTATGCAGAACAATAAAGCGCTTGCCTTTACCTGATGGTGCTTCATTTGGTTGCTTGCCTATACACTCCTGTCACCATTGTCGGACCACCTCCTAGTAACTGTGTGACGCGCATTGACCCACGTGTCATCCAGGTATGTCTCACAGGTAGCGATGCCGCCATGACACAATCCCGTGCCGTTCCATCATCATGTGTGTGATACCTCTGGTCTTGCCACACTGGAATCCCATGGAACGCAACATTTTCCAAGAGCTAGTTTTGCTCATGTCTGGAAAATCGTCGATGCTTTCTATGCAGCGAGCAGGAACTTTGTCCAGTGTTGGGTGCTCCTTCGCCGCATAGAATCCGTAAATTACTTCTTTACATACAGTCCAAAGCAAATCCGTCAGGGTTGAGTGGTTTTATGGCACGAGTCTCACATTGGGGATTGTCACTCTCGTTACCTTCATCACTGGAGACAGACAAGGCCAACGCAGCACGCTGATTTTCGCCGTCAGCATCCCTGGTACATCTGTTCATGGTGGAAATGCTGACGCCACACGCAACAGCAGCATGACGAATGGAATACTTGGGACCAATTCGATGCCCAGCCACTGTTCTCCTCGTCTTCGCAAAAATTGTAAAACAGACACCACCATGTAGATTCTACCATGGCCCGTTCGCGCTTTGTTATATGTGGCATGTCGAGAGAATAAGTTGCCACGAACGAAAAGACACTCGAGGAAAAGCAAAATAGGGCCACAGAGCAGTCAGCAACAAAATGATTCCTCCGGCCACGAGGAGCTCGAAGGACACTCTGAACAAAATGGCGAAATGCCACGAGTCACACCTGGTTTTCGAATTTCGCGCGCAGATTTTCGTGACGCAACTCGCATGACATTTTCTCAAAAGTGGCCTTGAGTACGTTCTCAAGGATTTCAGAGTCTATTATAAAAAAACGCACTGTAGTGTTACGCCTTACTTTGTACAATCATGTAGTGTAGGCTAATAGTACTACATGTAGTCGTAGTGCTAGTGTAGCCTCTTTGTTGTCACTGGCACTAGAGGCCGGGTACCCTGTAAGAAAGCCTTAGGCTGTGTTTACATGAGAAATTTCAACCCGGGTCGAGTTCAGCCCGGGTTGAAAGTCTGTACGATAGACAAAAGAGGTGAGCGTTTACATGAAGACAGTTGACCCGGGTCAAATACTGATATGCCGCCAAAAGTCCACTTCTACAGTCTTGTATGGTCACGTGAATCCGTTCGCGCGAAATTTGCATCTGCAGTGCAGTGCCGTTCAAACCTGGCGCGAGATACGCACAGAAGTACGTTTGTACAATTTTCTTGACCCGGGTTGATTTCAACCCGGGTCAAGCGCAATGCGTCATGTAAACGCGCCATTCACTTTGTGCACATGGCGGGTTGAAATCTGACCCGGGTCGAACTCAACCCGGGTTGAAACGCCTCATGTAAACTCACCGCCTTAGGCCTGTTGTGGGGATTGCCCTAAATGGCCTAAGTAATGTAATACTAATGGGATCGCCCTATCAAAAATCATGGGGCCACGGGGTGGGCCATGGGCATGGGAGTTCCGATGCCCAGGTGGGTTACGGCGTGGGCCGGGGCCCGGGGGGGGGGGGGGGAGGGGGGCGGGGTCGCCGAATGAACGACGACGATCACGCCGACCCATGCACATGATGATGACGTTCAGTGGTCACGTGTGTCTTCTTGTTTTCCTACATAGCTACGTCAGACGTGCGTGTCCGAAACACTGCAAAACTGCCAAAAGACGAAACGAAACTCAAGTCCCGACTCCCGATCGTGCATGCCGTGTTTCCAACAAAGTTACTTTGCGGAAAGAAGACGGTCTTGTGCGAAGTCACACTTGTGACCTGGAATAGGATTTGATGTAATCTCGCTTTGACAAAGCTCAATCATGGCAGAAGCGGAAGGCATGGAAGAATACGCGAGCCTGGAGTCTATGAACATCTACCAGGATTTGTCCGCATTCGTTCGCGGAACGCCGAAAGGGAAACGGAAACTGCCCCCCAAACCCAGTATCACTGAGAAAGCGGAGGATGGTGCACCTGCCCCAACCAAGGAAGTTGAGGAGATTGTAACCCTTAGAATTCACATTCCTGCTTTATCCATCGTCACCACAATGGAGGTATACATCTGAACTGTCGTGTTAGTGGCAAGCAAGCTGCGAGGACACTGAGTACTATTTTGTCATTGTGTTTGTTGACAGTTCAATGCCAGCCTACTGGTCTACGACGTGGTCTTGATGATAAAGTCCCAAGTGAAGGAGTTGTCCAAGATGGAGACATGTAAGAGTGCTGAGAGACTTGAGACCTGTCTTGAGGCCTGCCTGCCTACTGAACACATACACCCATGTACATGCGTGTATGTGTTTGAAAGTACTGTGCTGGCCAGTGAAGCTCGCCGCAGTCCATGAATAATGGCGCGCCGCATTCGAGCACACATCCTACAAATGTAGTGTTTGTAGTACAATGGCCATGCAGCGCCCGGCATGGGTTTATTCATGGAGGGGCGGGGGTTGAATTTTTCACTACCTAGCACTGTAAAAAGTCATCGATGATCAAGCATGATGGTTTCACGTTACGGACCTGTATTTGAAAGAATTTAAAATCCAGATCCTGGCGACATGGCCAAAGCACACCAGCCCTCCTCCCAATCCAGACATACGATGTACTTCCCAATTAACGAAGGCCCTACGTGATAATGCAAACACATGCAGGCCACTGCTGCTTTCGAAGAAGAAAGAAGTCTAACTGGCCGTTATCATTAGAATAACTTATTATACTTATAGTACTGAACCCTTTCGGTCAGTATAGCCTATAGGATGGTCTCTTCCACAGTATGCACTATGCAGATAATATTCATAATATTATTATGAATATTATTATCCCAATGGACCACTGCCCTGTGTCATTGCACAAACTCAGCCAGTTGAGCATGTGAAAAGCGCCAGCGCGCACACTGGTGCTCACTGATCTGATGCTGGTCTCCCCCTGTGCACACTGCCTTGTTCGCAGTGCATTCGAAAGTCATGTGCACGGGCACAAATGTGCTCGAGTCTTACGTGCACATTGCTTACTTTCTCTGTGCGAGCCACACTGGTACAGTGGAACCTGGGTAGCATTGTGAAGAACATGAGTGTCTTGTTCAACAAGGCTGGTCGCATTTCCATGTTCTGGCCCACCTCTGTCATTGTGACATGTTGGGCCCAAACATTTATATGTGGTAGTAATGGCCTGCCAAACACGGCCAGAATGTATGGATTATCTCGGTAAAAAAAGGTGGGTAGCTGGATTGGCATTGGCAGCACCCATGCAAATGCCCGTGTTCTAGTGGGTATGCGTAACTGAGAGGTTTCACTGTATTCCGGGGAAAGAATTGTGTATTTCCTAGCATGGCGGCCGCTCCTAAAAAACCCTGCACACATGCTGTACATGGTCAGTGCAAATCACCTTTAGATGTCTGACTGACATCCTGCATTCAAAGATGCTTGCAAAGTTGCCTAGTAAGCGAGGCACTCATTCTAGCCATACGTGTCAAACTGTCACCAGCAGTACCTTTTAAAGGCTTTTCACAGCCTCTTGCATGTGCCAGAAAGGGAAAGGATGCGAAACTTCCCTCCCTGAAAAACCAGTACCAAAAGGAAAGAGAGAAAAACCTAAGGAGTGATAAAGATAAAGCAGATTTCTCTGCCTGCCTCTCTCTTGCTGAGTATAGGTGCTTGTGCAATGCTTGTACTGGGTGTGACTAGAGCCTAACCAGCACCTTCTGCACATCAAGCTCTAGTGCTACGTATGGTGAGAAGTGCTTGAGTGCCTTCTAGCTGTGCACCAGTTTGATCTTCCTACTTGAAATGAACACTGTGGCATGTGAAGCTAACCTTGACACAGCCATGCACGCAGAACTTAGCCAGATGACGGACCGGTGCTAATTTGGCAAAATGTGGGTGTGGTGTGTAAATGCAGCCCTTAGACACATGCACCATGCACACGCACACACACACACACACACACACACACACACACACACACACACACACACACACACACCTCAGACCTCAGACATGCCCATCGCGGAAGCGATGATAGCGAACAGCTATGTTAGACATAGCAACTTGTGCTGGGATTACACCATTCAACAGCTTGCAAGGCTGATGAATTGACCGCCACTATTTTACACACACACACACACAGACGTGTCGAAATGCTATAATTTACTACTGGATGGTGATATCTTTGTCTCTCTTTTCTCTCTTCTCTTGATATGTCCAGCCAAACATTTTCAACTGTTCATTGGAGCAGAAGAGTTCAAGGATGGTAGATGGCTGAGTCCGAAAAAGACTCTCAAACAGCTGCGCCTTTCGTCTGGTGTAAGTTGCATTTTTATATCCTAATTTAATGATAATTATGACCCTGCTGTCGAAATGCTGTATGCTCAGAAAGCATCTAGCCAAGCCTTGATGACATGAATTCACTCATTTATCCACCTTTCGCAATGAACATGCAAAGAGGGAATGTAGCACATGTATGCGGTGATGGCTTGAGGCTGAGTAGCAGAGTTGCAATGTCTGCATCTGACATTGCTGTGTTTGATATTCCTTCTCGTTCTTTGATAGGTGTTGGTGGAGTTCAAGTCAGCGGTCCGTGACCAGAGGATGAAGTTGATGGACGGTCGTGTCAATCGTTTCCCTGTAAGAAACATGTGTAGCGGGCCGCAGTCTCTCTCGGAGGCAAATGCACACGGGTCTCAGTGAACACACTGTTGTTAACTTTATTATTACTAAAGACTGGATTTGAAGGTTGAACTCTAACTCTAAACTGACATTTCTAACTGGCATCTCTAACTGGCGTTTCTAACTGGCGTTTCTAACTGGCGTGAAGAGAATTGTGAACAGCAGCTTTTATAGGCAGACAGCATACGTGCTGCAACAGCAATGGTCACGGCAAAGCTCAGCAGAGAGAAGAAGAAAGGTCGAAAGTAGATGTGTGGGCAGCAGAATGGGTCACAGCACAAGGAATGCGATTTGGTTCTATGCAAAAGAAGGAGCTGAATACGATGTGGGCAATGGGCGTAAAAGAGGCAGTTGAAAGTGCAGCAAAAGGTCTAGACTAGTACTTCTAAGGTCAATATGAAACATTGAACGAAGTGAGACTAGTTTACTATCCATGTCATGGATCTGCAAGCACGGTACAGAGTTGCAAGTGCGGGGTACGGGTGCGGTGCAACACGCGTGACCAATACATTGAAAGCGATTCACGCTGCAGCTGTGTGAGTTACTAGCGTGCCAACGCTACACATGCATAGTGATGTTTGTGTGAAATCAATGATCACACAACGTTGTCTCCCTTTATGGAGACGTGTACTGCATACTGTTTGAGCAGAACGGTGATCCCGAAGGCTAGTATTGTGTTGTTGCCCTGGGATCATGTACCCAGTGTAATCGTCTGAAAACGTAGCGAATAATGGCAATCATGCTAGTATTATGTGGTATTAAGGGTGAAATTAAGGTCTGCAATTCCTGACGAAGCTTCTTTCGGTAGCGAACGAAGCTTCCGAATCATAGTTTACAATGACGAAATCCCACAAACTGTTTTTTTTCGTGCATTAGCCCCACGCAGACTAACACACGTGACATGATTGCTATGTTGTGGCTACTAAACAAGTTTGGCTTCTATCTTCTTGGGAATTCAAGGACCACCATACCAAGCAAAGAGCATAAGAGATTGTTAAAAGTAAATGTTAATAATACGTGCGCTAACCATCCCAGTATAAGGCCATTGTGCATTGCCAAATAGGACATGCACGAGTAATGCATGTGAGTGCGCTGGGATCAGCAATGCACTGTTCAACACCCCACATGACCATGCCCAGGTGGCTGTGTGGGGTGTTGGCGGCACAAATTACATCATCGCTCAAAGGGCTGACTGGGAGTGTTTGTTTATTGACTATGAGTCCATTCCCCTGCTTTGTGTGTTTCCAGATCAACGAGTACTTTTCGGTGTCCGTACTTATCAAGTCATTCTGCAAGTGCATTGGTAAGTGACTGGGTCAATGTGTGGCCATGTGTGTGTGTGTGCACGTGTGTGCCTGCATGTGTGTGTTTGTGTGTGTTTGTGTAGGGCAGAGGGGGGGGGGGGGGGGGTACTATTGTAGCTTGCACCGTCGCCGCTGTTGCCACTGGGCCGACGGCGTGGTCATGGGAAAAGATTCATCTAGCCCTCCTGTGCTGCAAAGCACACGCTGCGGCTTCCCATGGTGGCTTCTGAAGTGGCACACTGGAATAAGTCTTCCTTCAACTTTGACCGTGTCCATGCACATAATGTGATGGCTGTCATGTGCAAGTATATCCATGCTATTTTTGTGCTCACTCTTGTTGTTTGTCTGTAGGCGTGAAGAATGCGTCGGACTATGCTCTGTGTATTGATATTGAGGATGATGTGAGTAGCCGTGTTGCATGTGTGCATGGCACAGTACTGCTGTTCTTTGTGTCAAGTTCTGATAGTGGTGAGATGGCGCTAGAACAGCCTGTTCTCACTCGTCAGCGTCTACGTTCGCAGTAGGTGTGCATGCACGTGTGTGTGTGTGTGTGTGCACGTGTGTGTGTATGTTTGGGTGTGTGTGTGTGTGTGTGTGTGTGTGTGTGTGTGTGTATGTGTGTGTGTGCACAAGTTGCTATGTCTAGCATAGCTGTTCGCTATCATCGCTTCCGCGATGGGCATGTCTGAGGTCTGAGGTGTGTATGTGTGTGTGTGTGTGTGTGTGTGTGTGTGTGTGCATGTGTATGTTTGTGTGTGTGTATGTGTGTGTGTGTGTATGTGTGTGTGTGTGTGTATGCACATGCATGTGTGTGTATGTGTATGTCCATGCGCGTGTGTGTGTGTGCCTGTGCTCGTATGTGCGTACATTGTATGTACTTAACAATGTATGCCCTTCACCTCAATGGTGGTGTCTGTTTGCCTCTGTCCTCGTCTCATAGAAACTCAACTCACTTGACAGCAAGTTCACGACTTTCTGGCTGAACGACTCCCAGAATCTGCGTGAGCAGAACATCAGCACCGAGAAAGTTGTTGCGTTTCGTCGTCGATTTTACAACGACAATCGTAATGTCTCCAAGGACGACAGAAAAGCCCTAAACAAAGTATTTGGTGAGGTAAGTGAGTGTGAGAGCATGTGTCGTTTTGGTTGGTATTTGAAGTACATAGAGCATGCTCCGATAGTATTCTCTCCACTGTGGAGAAAGTTTCTTATTTGTACGGGTTAATGTGCCGCAGCATGGAATTCGTTACATTGTGTGTGTGTGTGTGTGTGTGTGTGTGTGTGTTTGCGTGCGTGTGTTTGCGTGTGTGTGTGGGGGGGGGGGGGGTGCATGTGTGTGTGTGTGTGTGTGTGTATGTGTGTGTGTGTGTGTGTGTGTGCGCGTGCATGTGTACGTGTGTGTGTGTGTGTGTGTGTGTGTGTGTGTGTGTGTCCAGATCAGTGAAGCTGTTATCAGCGGTCGACTACCGGTTGCACAGAGCGAAGCTACCACTGTAAGTAATCTAGAGTGGCCACTGTAGTAACTAATTACTTACTTGCAAAGACACTGCTGACTGGTTTGATGAGAGAACTGCAACCGTTGCTTGCTGAACAAGCACCGGAGCCTCTTTATCTCACCTTTTTTTTATTGACTTTTCCAAAGTAAGTTCGTCAGCCTTGAATTTTTCATTAGGCCACCCTTTGTTAATTCATTGTTTAACGTCCTTTTTTTCGCGAAAAGGTACGCGGGAGGGCGGAAAAAAAACAAAAGCCCATTCCAAAAACTGGAAACCCCAATCAAACATTTTGACCAGTAAAGCATGTGATATACACAATATTTCTGGGTCTAACGGCACTTGCAGGCATAGAACAACACTCTTTGATGGTACATTGGAGCACATGCCTGATGAATCCAACAAAACAGGTACATAGCATGGAGTTAGCATGTCATGAATTCATTACATCTGGATTTTTACTGGGACACACACCGTACGATATTTAAAAGCCAACGAAAAAAGAAAAAGAACACAAGACAAAGGCATGCCCGGGATAAAAAAGGTCATGATCGGCACACTGTGAAACTACACAATCATGTATTTACAACTTCGCATATTATTGGTACTACTACTTTCTTGTTTTTTTTCCGGTCGGAGGCAAAAAGGTACGCGGGCGCGGACGTTAAACAACGAAAAAAGAAAGGGTGGCCTTACTTAAAATTGTATGCATGTGCGTTCGTTTTTGTTCGCAGTCTCCAACACAGCCACTTAGGGCATGTTTGATTGGTTGGGTCCGGATCCAGATCAACCGGATCCACTGGATTCGCACCCTTTCGATTGGTAGCGTCCGGTTTCGGATCCTTTGGATTTGGATCCGGCCAACCCACCTCTTACTCGGGGAGCAGGGTTGACCGGATCCACCGGATTCTTTTTTTTTGCCAAAAGTCATACTCTGTACGTGATACGTGTACAAATGGCGGGAATAAAAGCAACGATGCAGAAATCGTTGCTTTCTCTCATGGAAACCCTAAAAAAATCACTAAAGTCCAGATTCGATCTTGGCAGCATCTGACTGGACCTTCGTGGATCCAAAGGATCACTCAAATGATCCGGATCCAACCAATCGAACATGCCCTAACGCATATTCATAAAAACTGCCCCCCCCCCCCTCCCCTCACACACACACACACACGCACATTCTTATTCTATGCTGATGTACTTTGTGTGTGTGTTTTTCAGTGTGCAGCTGTCATAGCCCAGATCACACTTGGTGACCGAGGACTGATTGGGAAGCTTGAGTGAGTCTTTCCTGCCTGCTATGTGCCACCTTTCACCCCCCCCCCCCCACCCACCCCCAGATGGCAGAGAATTCATTTTAAAATTCAGGCAGTTGTATAAAGCATTTATAAGACTCCGACTTAAATGCAACCACGTTCGTTTATTTTTTGGATATTTCTGTTGGGAAGGTGCCAAGACTGGCACACTTTGTGCTTTCCTTCCGGTGCCCCTGAGAGTATCTGGGTTCTATTTGTTGTGTCTGTGCTCGTTGTTGCCTGTCCTGTCACAGCTTCAAGCAGTTTCTTCCCAAGGACTTCCAGAAGAATTCTGTTGAGAAAGAAGTGATTGACCGCTACAAGCGGTTGCAAGGCCTGGACGAGATGATGGCCAAGTACCGATTCTTCATTGAAGCGAAGGGCCTGAAGCACTATGGGTTCAAGTTCTTCAAGGTCACGGAACGCGAAGCGGGGAAATCCAACAAGGAGAAGACCATCTTCCTCGGAATCAACCCTGATGTCATTGTCCGAGTGAATAGTGCAACGAAAGAGGTACTACGGTAGTTGATGTGTTGTTCTGTGAAGCTCCCTTACTCTCCAATACTACTTGCATGCAAAACAGAATTATTTTGTGGAGAACTCAGACAATGTTGCATTCATCAATAATGTAGACTTGATGCACACCTCCCATACTGTTGTGTAAGTATAGATGTGTAGAAGTGAGATAGGCAGTCCATTCCTCTGCTTTCGCTTTTCTTTTTTCGTCTTCTTTTTGTAAACTATCCAGATGGTTAGCCGTTGGCCGCTGTCCAAGATTCATCGGTTCGCCGCTTCATCTTCCGACATCTCTCTGGTAGGTGGACTCCTTTTTGAAAGTGCTTATGTCGCTAGTGGGAGTGTATGTGTGCACGCATGTGTGTGTGTGTGTGTGTGTGTGTGTGTGTGTGTGTGCGTGTGTGTATACGTACGTGTACGTGTGTCTCTCTCAGTGTTCTAGCATCGTGTCCACTTGCTATCACAACCTTGCTTTTTTTCATTTCCTCTTTGTTTAGCAGAAAAAGTGTGATTTGATGTGGTGTGTGTGTGTGTGCACGCATGTGTGTGTGTGTGTGTGTGTGTGTGTGTGTGTGTGTGTGTGTGTGTGTGTGTGTGTGTGTGTGTGTGTGTGTGTGTGTGGCCAGAAAATGTCACTCCAAATAGCTGTATGGTGTAGACCAGGCTGAATAGTGACGGTCAATTCTTCAGCCTTGCAAGCTGTTGAATGGTGTAATCCCAGCACAAGTTGCTATGGCTTCTGCCGTAGCATTGCTATCATCGCCTCCGGCGATGGGCGTCAAAGGTCAAAGGTCAAAGGTGTGTGCGCATGTGTGTGCGCATGTGTGTGCGCATGTGTGTGCGCATGTGTGTGTGTGTGTGTGTGTGTGTGTGTGTGTGTGTGTGTGTGTGTGTGTGTGTGTGTCCCATATGGTGCAGTGGTATGTGCAGTCGATTTCCAATCGAGAGGTTGCGGGTTCAATTCCCGACGATTATGGTCGCACACGTCTTTCTTCTCTTTCTCGGACTCTCCCTGACTTTTCTTTCATTCTCCTGGGTGGGTTACCAACAGCCAGTGTATGCCGGAGCATGTGGTGTGGTGTGTGTGTATAAATAAAAAAAGAAAGAAAAAAAAGGAAAGGAAAAAAATGGAAAAAGGAAAAATAGGGATTCACTGGCCAGAAAAAGTCACTTCAATCAGCTGTGTGGTGGATACCAGGCTAAAAATAGTGGTGGTCAATTCATCAGCCTTGCAAGCTGTTGAATGGTGTAATCCCAGCACAAGTTGCTATGTCTAACATAGCTGTTCGCTATCATCGCTTCCGCGATGGGCAGGTCTGAGGTCTGAGGAGAAGGTGTGTGTGTGTGTGTGTCTGTGTCTGTGTCTGTATGCGTGTGCGTGTGCGGACTGGCGCACCTGTGTGTTCATTTGTTTGCAAACAGGATTTTGGAGATTGGGCACACAAGCTCTACAACAGCTACACACAGGAGGCTACTCAGATCGCTAACCTCATCAGCAGCTACTACAAGAACGTGCAAAAATGTGTAAGTTTCACGTAATTGTCACATTCCGAGCCGAACTCTCATCAAAAGTCTGAACCAGGAGTAGTAAAATACCGGTATTTTACTACTCCCTAGTCTGAACCAAACTCCTGTTGCGGCTTCCGTTGAATGAATGATGAGGTTGCGATGTCCTAGCAGTGATTAATGTGGGGTGGAATGGGTCAGTATGTTCATTGTCCTGCTCCATATACACATACCGTAAAGTCGCGGATAAAAGCCGGGCTTATAAGCATATAAGCCGCTTTCTGCATCAGGCTTTAATGCAAACCAGGCTTGTATGCAAACCATGCTTATATGCACCACTGATACTTTTGCCAGGCTTGTATGCACATGATCTACCACTGACTACCGGTATGGCGGCAGTTTTACTATGCACTGTACATAGCGCCAAGAGTGCATAAACAAGAGTATGCAACTGTGGTTATGCATCAGTGCGCGGCGCGCTGCCTTCATTACGTAACTTGCCTTCATCACGCTCTGAAAGCATGCATTCAAACTCACAATTTCTCGTACGAGCCCATCCGTTTTTGCTCGATTCGTTCCAGTACCTACCCAATCTCTAAAGTTTGGCGCATGAACTCCAGTTCCGTACGCAAGTCCATTTCAAACCAGAGGGAAAGCGCGGTGTTTGATTTTCCGCAGTGCGCGGACTGCAGCTGAATGGTGTAATGAAGGCAGCGCGCCGCGCATCTGGCCCATAGAAAAGAGATCACAGTTGCATACTCTTGTTTATGGACTCTTGATAGCGCATGCACTCTTGACCTACCCGATCCGCGCTTGCATAGAAGCCAGGCTTCTACGCGCGACAGGCTTTTAATTTGATCCGTTTGATTTTCAGGCTTCTATCCGCGATATGCTTGTATGCAAACCCGGCTTTTATCCGCGACTTTACGGTACCTACATGTACGTGTAC